GTGCTTGCGTCGTGTCTTTGTACTTGGTCTTTCAACGACTTTTTAGTTGCTTTGATGCCACGTGGTTTGGTATGCAAACATGAGTTAGTAGTGCAAAAAAAGAGTTAGTAGTACGAGTGTCGAAGTTTCTGCTTTCTATTCTAATATTCTGCTACAGCCTACCATGTTCCTAAAAAGAAGAACTAACACACACTATCATTCTAGTTCTAAGATTTTAAACCGATTATTCGATATTTACCACACATATGAATCGTTATATACATTTTTTCATTACTATTACGCACAGAGCACTATCCACACACAACTACACTACAATGCCTACCTGCAAGTGTTGCCTGGACAATAACCAATGAAAACATTTCTTACGGAAAGTACGTAATGACAAAATATGACAGTCTCGCACAGGCGGGGGAAGATCATTCCACACATTGGAAGCGGCGTATTTAAAACAACTTAAAGTCTCGACTAAAATATAGACAGGTAGCTTATAAATATGAACCTGATCTCGCAAAAAGGAGACTGCTTTTCGGTACCAGTTTTTCAAAGAGATAAATCGGAATTTTAAACCTATGTAAGGATTGTGCAAAGCAGGCTAATTTTAGTACTCTAGAATTGGCCATGTTAAGCTGTTTGTTATTGACAATATACGGTGAAATATGGTCTCTTTTACGTGTTCTAAAACAGTAACGCATACAAGAATTTTGCACTTTTTGAATAGTTTTAGTAGTCTTAACTTACAGACGAGGGCCAAAAACTACGTCACAGTACTGCACAATGAGGTAACACCAGTGCATTACATAATTGCAACCGTATTTTTGGACTTAAACAACTTCCCAAATTATATAGGGACCCTTAGATCTTAAGCTCTTAAGCGCCAAAACAAACGACCTATTTTCTGGAGAACATGTTGTTCGAATCTAAGCTCTTCATCCAAACACTTAATGTACATAAATAGTAAATTATAACAATACTAGTACATAATTATTACATAATAATTAAAACAATAGGTAAATAAGCGAACGAGAAAGATTATGTATCGGTGAAGCGGGTGGCGGGGTCACTGCCCTTGCGTGTGCATGTGACTTGAGACAATTTTGCAAAACTTTACTTGATACTATGGCCAGAATATTGTACAGAATAATGTTTTAAATATTTTTAGATGATTTAGCATTATTTCTATTATTAATTTATTAAATACGGCGAGAATGCAAATCAACACACTGTATAATATAAGATTATTGTGTATTAATATTAGAAAACTACCCAATTGCAGATAGCACCTTGTACGTCATCGCACTCCACAATTCGCCTTTCCCGGAAGGGCATGAAGAGAGTCAGTCAGCACGGGTACGGAGACCACTACGTTCACATCAAGATAGTGGTAAGAATATATAATAGTACATAGTGAATTAAGGGCGATAACTTAGGAATTAACTGAGGGCTTTCTGAGTCGAGGTTCGTAATTCCCGTACCATATATGTTTTTCATGGCACTAACACGTAAATAGTATGATTGCATGCAGGCTAACTTGACTATAGTGCCCCAAATTAAACCCTTGGGCCGTTTTTGTACTCATTACAACCATGGTTGTGTAATGAGAACAAAAAAGACCTGAGGGTTTTATTTGGGGTTGATATCTAAAGTACTATTACATTTAAAGATGCTTTGTACGTTTGCCAAACGCGTTGCCCGTTTGTACATATTGTACTGTAAAATACACTGTAACTTCAAGACTCAAAGCTCACTTTTGGAGTTAAATGGAGTTTGTAACGCGATGACTTATGAGGAATAATGCTATTCCTATAACTATACCAGTTAATAGTGTACTTTCTTCCTTGTCTTTCCTATTACAGGCACCAAAGTCGCTAACGGACAAGCAAAAAGCTCTGTTGTATGCATACGCTGAGCTCGAGGAAGATACACCTGGTCAGATCCACGGAGTATCTTACAACAGAGATGGTAAGAAATGATAAATTAAATGCAATAGTTATTATAACGAAACCGATTAACGTTTGTGCTGCGAATTTAAAAGAATTTACTAGTGTAAAGACTGATAATAGGTATGTCCTTCGCTATGTTGCGGAATTCTAAGAACTAATTTCTTAGTACACTGATGCCCTAGTCGATACGTAGTTCAATATTGCGCCCATAGATGGCGCCTCAAACTATTTGAGTTAGGTGAACAGCAATGTCAGTAAATGCACACGTTGTTACGTTTGTGGTGATTTTTGCCGGTCTTTTGAGTAGTTTAATGTTAGAAAAAGTTATTTAACTGCTACTTTTAAAAATAATTTAATTGAAACATTTTCAAAACAAATACCCTATCAACTGTGGCTCTAGAGAAAAGGGGTACAAGTAAAAAAAACCCAACTTTACAAGGAGACGCGAAAAACTGTTAGCGCATAATGAGATATTAAGCATGAAGTGTTTTTCGCGTTTCCTTGTAAAGTTGGCTTTTTTTACTTGTGCCCTTTTTCACTAGAGCCACAGTATGACGTCATAAGTGTGCATAAGGCTACCTGTATACTTGCTGACATTGGGGGATCAGTTGGCTCGAAGAGAAACCGCGCAGACACAGGCAAACCTAGCCGTGTGTTTTTTCGGTTAACCCTTGTGAATTCATCTATGGTTTTTAGGTTGTGCTTCAGTAGATTACAAACAAATTTACTTTGCAGCCAAATCGAACAGTAGCAGTAGCGAAAGCCAAAAAATACACGAAGCAAATCGTGATCGCGACCACCAATACGAGAAAACCAGAGTTTGGTCTTTATTAGACATTTTCGCTGATACATATAAAAATTATAAGGTAGCCTTTCTCAGCGGTTTTTTCATAGCTGTTGTTTTTTGTTATATGGCTTTAATAAACGATCCACAAGATAGAAGTAGCATAGATAACTATGTTAGAACTTTTGAAGAAAGGGAATTTAGAGAAATGGATAAGACCATGGGGTATGAAAGAACGCTACAGAAGGAAAGAGAGCGTAACCCACAAATGTATGACGCGTAATATGTAAGTTCTAGTTTTTCAATGGCGTACTTTTTTCTGGTGACTCTTCTGGGGGCTGGTTATTAATAATATTATTTATAACACTAAACAAGTTTAGCTAGAAGTCTTCCCCTACAAGTTTGTTGTCGTTGCAATACAAAATGGATGACGAACTAAATAAATGTTTTGGGTTTTTAGGTTTTCGCGATTGTTATACATAGGTTATGAAACTATTTTTTTCGGAACTAAATCGTATTTGTTTATTTAAACCAAATTTTGTAATCATTAGAACGTAGTAACATTCACAATACAGACATTTTTGGCAAAATGTTACGTTCTTTCACAATCTGTCGATAAAACTGTCGTCAACTACTACATGACTATTTAAAATTTTATGAAAACTGGCAACCCTGCAAATGTCATTTTATTCCGTTTTCATAAAAGACAGACTGGGTCTATTTCCATTATTGATAAAATCCATAAAACTTGTAAAATTGTCACCAGTATGAAGTGATCTTTCTAAATAGAACCTTGACTACACAATTTACTAACGTAGTAAAGTATAAATGCTATGAAATAGCAATTACTTTATAGGAAGTAATTGTTCTATAAAACTGCGCAATATTTATTTATGACCTATGAGAATCTAGTTTTAAGATTCAGGTAACATTTAGAACCGTGCTCATATAATAAACGGGTTACGTAGGATCAAGAAATTGTCGTCAATCTCGATGCACGACACGACATAAGTGTAGCGTAGTAAACTGGTCTGAATTATTAGACAAGACGTAATGCTTGGCAAGTCGAAGCCGAACCTATGCGCGCATAAAAACCAAGTACTGTTGTAACTCAAAAAGGACAGAATTGAGAAAAAAAAATCATAGAAAAAACTGAATGAATCTTGTTACGAATAATGGTATTATTAATAGATTCAGGCGTTACTTTGCGAAAGTCCATGTTAATAAAAATGGAAGTAAATTAATTTACTACTCCGCGAATCCAGTGAAGGTTAAATCGTGCAAAATAGCTGTGCTTGTGTAGAATTTCTTTTTCTCATGCAGATAATTATCCCACCCTCCCTCCGCATAAAATTAATAAAATAAATAACACAAGCGCAACTACAGTCACAAACACCACCACCAAATATACCCGACACGCCTGATTATGCCTCGTGGAGAGGCGAAACTAATTTACTTCCATTTTTATTAATGGGATCATTTTTAATAAAACAATTAGTTAGCCACTTATAAACAAGAATATACATTTATTGGTTCCATTCAGTAATTTTTGGAACGTTCAAATCGTGTTTTTTCAATTTCATCATTTTTGAGTTACGACAGTATTTGTTTTCATATGCGCTGTGTCTCTACTATCAGTTTATGGCGGCACTTCCACATGGCTACTTGTATTCTCTATTGGGTGTTTGATGTACTTGGAAAAATATTTGACGTATAGACTGACCATGAATATGACCATAGTGTGGACGGTTTACTTACGTAGTTGGCTATTTAGCCCCTTTAATGGGTGTTGAGAAAGCGACCATCGCACGGTAAGCACCCAGTTACGCGACGCGAAAGTTTTCGCGCGGCGACCGCCCAGTTACCGCGCTTTCACGGACATTAATGGTGAATGAATTTTATTTGCTAACAATATTTAAATGCCTAGGAATAATAAAACTGTGCGGTCGCCGCGTGTCCGCCGCGTAGACCAAAGACAAATCAGTCTCGCTCGCGTTCCCGAGACGCTCATTTAAGTTAAAACGTAAAAGCTAAATAAATAGAGCGTACTGACATGACAGTTAGATGCACGCGGTCGCTGTGCTTGAGCGCGATGAAATTCGTGTCGGATAAACGCGCCCTAACCCAGGATTGGTGTTTGCTGTATTTGTCGGATAGGCAAACAAGACAAATACTTTGTCACACCTCCTATCTACACATGGAGATTGTTGGCCAAATATGTCAAGTACGCAATACACATAGCCATGAGAAGTGTCACCATGACGGTTGTTGCAGGCAAATATTTGACAATAAAATTGTATATTGCAAATTGAGCGCCCCTAGCGGTTACAAGGAGCAACATTTAGTATACATATATTTTTACGGGATGCTAGCGACATCTGTCATTACCTTGAGCGCGCGTAATAACTAAAAAGTTCGACAAGGGCGCCTGTTCGCAATGTTTGTCTGTTCTCTAAACCCAGTTTATTTATTGGCTCGGTGCTGCTTCGTGTTACATTATCGGCACTTAACCTGTATTAAACGAAGGTTGTAGTCTTATATTATAATATTGTAGTAAGATATTATGATATTCCATAGCATTTTATTATTTTTAAAATTTATTTGTATCATTTTTTATTCTAATGTATAATAATAATACGTTGTAAATATTCTACATTTATTTGTTCACATGAAAATGAAATATTTTCATGGTTTGGAAGGTTATTGTGTCGATTCTTTGTGCATCGTCAAAATTAAGTTTTAGTAAGTTGAAATCTGGCCAATTAATAGAATCTTGCATTTGAGTAGTGAATTAGTGAATTTTATAAGTTCCCTCACGTTGTTTTGGAATATAAAAAAAAATATTCAAAGATTCATTCTTTGAAGCAAAAGTAAGGGTGCTTTCAAAGTAACCGCTTGCAAAAGCTCTGCATTGTGACGACAGTGGCGCTGCAACTGCGTTTCTAAATATTGTATGAAAATTAGTGGCGCGGTTCCAGCGCCACACTGGTGTCACTGCAACGTTTCTATAAACGTCGAATTTGAAGGCGCCCTTACCCTTCGAGCACTACATACCGGGCGCATGGAAGTGTTGTGCGGGTTCTAAGTAACGTGACTGCGCTCGACGTGTGCAGCTCCTTACTAAAATGTTTCTCCTTGATTTAAGTTCCTATCGACCAGCACAATAGAATCGTTACGTTTTTTGCTAGTTAATAGTTTTTATCCAAAGGGATACAGTATGATGGTACTTGTTTATATTTGTTGTAAATAATTTCATGAATATATGAAATTGAGTAATTATGTTTGTTGTTTTATTTGTACATGCCCATTTGGCTTTCCTTATTCACCATCATGCTATACACCATATTGAAAATAATGTCAGAAATTATTTATTAAAAGATCTTTTACTCTTCGTAGGTAACAAGATATAAAGAAGTATTTTCTACGTGAGTGTTTGATCAAAACCTAGGTAGATATTTCGTTAGATGTATTAAATGACTAAAGGTATTATTCTTTAATTAAATGTTATTAATATCGAATATTTAGTGCGATAAATAAGAACGATTGGTTGTAGATACGTAACTAACACGCATGATGGTTACTTAATATATACTTTAGTGTTCATAGAATTATGAATATTATACTTCGTTTCAATCTATTTTGAACAAAAAGTAAACAAACAAGTCACTGACCCGACCATAGACAGTTTAGTGGTGGCCAATTGTAACGCCAACTACAAATCGATTAATTAATTCAATGAATCGATTTGTTCAATTGAGTCATACTAACGGTTTTCCTTACATAACCTATGTAAGCATATTTAAAATTTCAATTTAAATCCTCCTTTAAATCCTTACACTTAGATACTCGTTCGATTGCAATTGAAATGTTCGATTTAATAATCGATTACTAAACTTTGTTTTTTTTCGAACAGCACTATGCAACCATAGGCAAGTCATAGAAGTATAGATGAATAATAACCTCACTATTGGACTACCATTTTTCAAATACGTTTTTACGATGCTTTTCAAATGAATATTGTTGGAAACAGTGATGAGATATTAAGTCGAAATCTTCGAAATATACGTGAAAGTGTTACTTATTCGATTTAATACGTGATTGCTTTAGATTTTTAACCAAATAGGTTTGTTTACTTTTTGTTCAAAATCGATTGGAACGGACTATAGTACACTTTGTGGAATTTGGAAATTATAACTTATTCAGTCACTATAACATCTTGTTTGTAAGTCATTGGTAGTTTGTTTAGTCTTTATTCAAATAGTTTTCTGCCTATAAAAATTGAGGTATATTACTTTGCTACTCCGCGAACTCAGTGAGATAGAATCGTTCAAAATGGCTGCAAAACACATGTGTTCATTTTATTCATGCAGTTAATTTTCCCACCCTCCTTTCGCTTGAAATTAATAGGTGATAGGAATTGAGGGAATTAATCTGATTAAAGTTTGAACGTTTACTTAGTATGGATCATCGAGTATATAACCAGAAATAGAGACGAAATGTAATTTAATTTGTTTGAAAACTATTCTGCCAAATCATTATGGTGACAACTTCGCCCGAATTCGAAACAATTGTCGGGTGTCGTCAATTGTTTCACTTCAAATCGACCAGTTTAATTTGAGTTTTGCTATAATGGACGAAAATTGAAAAATTACATATTTAGTATTTGATTTAGTTTGTAATTAGATGTTTTGCTGTTTTTCCCACACCACCGAACGGAACAGCTTCCCATTGTTAGAGACATTATCTTTATTACAATAAATACAGAATATTTTTGGAATATACGGAGACGTACACACAAGTCAAAATGTTGGCGCTGTACTGTTTCAGATTTCTTATTTGTGATTTCAGTGCAAACGAGAGTTCATATTTAAAAGTGATGTAAGGCCCATTTGCCTGATGAATTGCCAGGGATGGATGGCCCTCATTTCGTCTCTATTTCTGGTTGTATACTCGATGGTATGGACATACCCATTTCGTCTTGCCTATAAAAGTACGTTTTTACTGTTTATTTTCTAAACATTCCAAAATATAGGTTGTTTTATGTTTATTCTTTAAATGGCCAAAGTATTTAAATACGTGATCAACCTGTAGCAACACAACGGCAATATTTTGTGACAATAATTTGTAGCAAATACTTGTGGCAACCTCGGTGGTCCAACGGTTTGCACTGTGGACACTGGATGAGGAGTTCTCGGGTTCATTTCCCGGTATATTATTGATAAGGCAATGGTATTGCACCAGTGAAGTTCCGGTGGTTTTAGATTCAATTTCCGGTGGGACAAATTTACGTAACAAACTTTTCTAAATTGTTGGTCTGGATGTTTTGGAAAATGCCCCAGAGTCAATTCCGTCGCTCTGGTATTTAATTGTATTACTGAAATAAAGATTTATTAGTATTATTATTACTTCTAGTACAAGGTATTCCCTAGTATGAGATCAGGCAATTGGCGTGGTTGTCTGGCACATATTATTATTATTATTATTGTCTTTGACTGTACTATATTCTACTCATTCTGAAATCTGTTTTCAATCCTCGAGCCTCAAAGTTCAAACCTTCAAACCAACAGGTACTAAAGTGTCGATAGCGGAGCCCCATAATCTCGTAGACGCCGTGAAAGAAGCCCTAAAACAAAAGAAAAGCATCGAAGGCACCCCGCCAGAAGACGATGACCTCAAGGAGTCCAGAAGCAAGGGTTAAACTATATCAGTACAGCTTGACCGCCATCAGCTTAACACAAGGAGGGAAACATCGAGTGCGGCACTATTGAACAGTCATAGCGTAATTTGTGGGGTGTGAATACCTTCGTATGAAGGTATTCACACCCCACAAATTACGCTAAGGTGATTGGTTGAGTGCGTTTTCCTCCCACAGAAGAGAAAATTCTGGAGGTCAAGCTACTGGAGTAAAACTCAGTTTACATAGCTGCGGAACGGGATTTTTTAACCATAGATACGAACCAAAAAAACAGGACCGATAGAGTGCCAGCAGCTGGATTTTGTACGTTTGGTATTCTGCTAAGAGTTAAGAGTAGTGACTTGTCAGTGCCTAGCCACCGAGTTACTCACTGCCAGTGCAATTTTTTGGTTTCTGCTCTTCACTCTGCTCGCTTGGCGAGTCGATGGCACGTCTGTGGTGTAGTCTACTAACGTTATATGTATTTAATTTGAAGACTAAATTGCTGCTCAAACGAGATAAAAATTAAGACATGCGTAGTAATTTCCGTGGAAATTTTCGTAAGGCAACATCGATTTAACAATGATCGATTTAACAATGAATGATTGAATGAATGAGGGCCATCACTGCCATTGCAACTCGATTTTAGCAGAATAACAAATAACTATCATAATTGTAATGTCAGGGGAGTGGCAATGGAATTGCAGTGGAGTATCAGTGGTTTGAAGAAAGTTAGCAGAATTCCTGAGAATTCTCGCGCTGTCTGGGGAATTACACTTACCGTATCGTATCTAGTTTGTACATTGCACAATTGACATGAATTTCATTATGCTATGTACAATTTCGTAACAAATATTTAGTTTCATTCCGTTCCGTTGCAATGTAAATTGAGCCTAAAGAGGTTTTAGGGCATCAGCTATTTCAAGCTTTAGTGGCGCTTAAAAATTCAAATATGTCTTTGTGAACGAGTCCACAATGAACTCGCACGTTGATGCAACAGCTTGAAATAGCAGATGTCTTAGACCCCTTATTATCTTATTCTTAGTCCATTCAAAGGTAGATAAAAATATTCCAATTTATACATTTTTATTTTAGGAGTTGGGAATACGCCAAGGTATACATTTTAGCATTTCGTCGAAAGCTTCCAATTTTTGTTGGTTGTATTCTGAGGCTACGGTTGTATTACATAATGCTACACTTTTGTAGTTTATTTTAATTGACCACTAAGTAATTTGGGAAATTGATTACGGAGACTTTTGTCCTTGAATAACGGGTAATCGGACAAGGACGTCGTGTTAGTAATATGATAGCAAGGCCATGGACCGATAACCATGAGGACTGCGAATCTCCAGATGGCGCTGATCTTTGATGATAGCCTGGAAGTATTTTATATTATGTAAATGGCCGTGGATATCAATAAAGAATAGAATAGACATTTATTGCTTGTGCCAAGTCCCAAAATGTATACAAAGAACTGTCACTGTCAAAGTGACATCTCATGGATCATAAACCTTTTTTTCCCGGTATTAACAGGTCTACTACTCTTCATTTCAATTGACAAATGATGATGATGATAATTTGAATAAATGAGAAGGACCACGGGCCATAGAAAATTACCCCGGGCATGGCACAAAAACAACTCGGGTTTTTCTTTTAGATTAGACATGAACTCTATATAGTTTTATTTTCGATATCAGTAGCTAACATGTTGTTACTCAGGCGAAAAAGTGTTAAATAATGTATTTTCATGTATAAACCAAACGCCTATCAGGTTTTTAACTATTCTTCAAAAATTGTTATCGGGAAATAGATGGCATTGTGTGTTACAGACTAATTTATAAAATACCGTTTGTTAATATGGGTAGATGACACCACTTGTAAACAAAATAAAAGAATAGCCGGCAATATTCATAAAAATCTGAGAATATAAGCGCCATCTAGTTGATTTGTTTGTTATCACTGGAAATTAGAGTAGCCTTGATAAATTGCAGCTCGGCAATGCAAAACAAATTATTTAAAAAAATATTTATTTGGTACTCGTAGCGACATCTGGTAAAACCAATAAATACTAGACTATACTGTCTTGTATTGCAATTATCAGTCTTCTTGAGTTATTGATTAATAGTAAGGCTCAATTTGCATTAATGCCGAATGAATTGGAAGCGATTTTTTTTGTATGTAACTTAGCATAATGAACTTCTTGACAATTGTGTAACGTACAAAGTCGATACGATACGGCAGCTGCGGGAATTTTCGAGAATGCGCGAGAATGTTCCGGAAGGTGCACGACCTGTTTTTAATAGACTTCAAAAAAAGAGGAGATTCTCAATTTGACTGTGGTTTTTTTGTATGTACGTTACGCGATAACTACGTGGTTTTTGAACCGATTTTGATGCCACTGCTTGCTCAGGTCGTCCGTCTTGCCGCAGGCGTCCCACACTACGTTTTCCTTGACGTGGTTAACATTCCAGAACAAGTCTGCTCCATCGGCGATCAACCGTCCTGCAGACATGTCCGGCCCACTGCCACTTAAGCTTACTGATTTTGCGAGCTATGTCGGTCACTTTAGTTCTCTGACGTATGACCTCGTTAGGAGCGATCTTGAATTTGTGGACGAGGCCTGTTGGTAATCCCCACGTCTCGGCTGCGTAGGACATAACTGGTAGAACGCACTGGTTAAATGCCTTAGTTTTTAGGCTTTGTGGGATTGATGACTTGAAGATGTAGCTAAGCTTCCCAAATGCCCGCCCAGCCTAAACGAATTCTTCTGTCGGCTTCCTTCTCGAAATATTACTTGTTTGACAGTAATTGTTCGGTCGGATAGCTGATGGAGATCGAGAGTCCGGGATATGACGGTCCGAAATGTCACAGGGATCATTTTATCTACAAGCGATATTGTATTTTCTCGGATTTGCATCGGACTTAGTGCACAAGCGACACCCGAAGTGGGTCCGAGATTTCTAGATTTGTATATTCTCAGATTAGGAACGAATCAGATGCAGCGCACAAATGCGCTTACATCATACTTTTTGATGATATCTTTCAAATAGTTTTGTTACGTATTATAAGTTTACTTCGCGTATTCCCAACTCCCCGACTGTGCTATTGATTTGTTATTGCTTTACTTTTATTGTTTATTTTGGTTCACTAAAACTGTTTGGACTTTTTCGTTAAATAACATTTCAATTCTGTGATACAAATATGTATGAAGCTAGTTAATTGAATGTCAAACTGTCTTTTACTTTCACAAAAATATAACACGACGTTTCGGTTTGATGAAATTCAGAATATTCTTATGTAACATGTTACACAACATTTTTTAAAGCTGTACATAGCCGTTGACTAGTTTGTAGCGTAGGTAAATAAAATAACAAATTGAATGACTTTGTATTGTTTTATTTTCAAAAAAGGTACAGAATTGCGTTCTAACAAGCATATTATACAATAATTGCATAAGTAGTTTCTATTTTTGATTAGTGAGTTAAGAAATTGTTTTCCTCAAGTGAAAATAAATAAATAACGCACACACTCATAGCCCGTCACTAGGGAAACCCTGTGATGCTGATGCCATGGACACACAATGTGTCATGTCGTGGGTCATGTCATGACCACAAATTACACCCAAACTGACGAGAGAAATAAACGTTGGCCATACAAATATTTCTCCCGGCCCGGGAATCGAACCCGGGACTTCTGCGTGACAGAACAGCATTGTTTGGCTGTGGAGGCAGAAAAGAGTTTATTGTTATATCCAAGAATTAATCAGCATTTTTGTAGCCGAACGTTACAAGTTGACTTCTGTATACAATAAGTTATTCAATAAACAAATTATTATTATTATTGCATGTATTGACTCCGTGAGCTGCTAACACTAATTATACTACACAGTACAGTTAACGGCGCGTCTATTAAATTCAACTTTTGATAAAGGCGGTAAAAAGTCAGTGTAAAACTTATTGTGCTGTTGACCATAGCAAAAACTCCCGAAGAGCTAGGTCTTTCTAGAGTTATTTACGAGCAGACTTATGCCCGCCTTCCACTGCGAAATGGTTACGAGCGGGAAATAGCTTAGCGGAACGGATAGCAGAACGGAAGCGGACGGAAATACTTTGTCCTAGGAAAGATTTTCACTGAAAAGAGTTATTTGCCATAAATATAGCCAGCGGGGTAAGCATAGTGACCTACGCGGGAAATGAGATGGGGCCAGATGAGCGAGTTGTTTGCTTCCATAGCGAGCGGATTAGTGGAGTGAGTTAGGCGGCGGAAAAGTAAAAAAATAGGTTTTTGTTTCATGTATAATAATAATGTATTTTAGGAAAGTTGTAGTTTTAAAATGTCACCTTTGCGGAGTTAGTTCACAGAAGAATACATCTTCTCTCTCTCTCCTAGTCCGCTTCACTTACTCGTTAGCGGTGGAAGCACTTCTAGGACATTACTCTTGCGAGTCAAACGGAGTCCGTACGGACTCGGCTGGAAAGTCGCTCAACTCTGCGACCTCTTTTGTAACTCTTAAAGCCCGGTTCCCACCGCGAGCGGAGCGGACCCATTAATCACTTCTTTTAACTCGCAAGAGAAAACTGCTTACATGTGTTTCCAACGACAAAGAGTTGAGAGTAAATGACTCAGCGGGCAAAAAGAGTAAAAATGACCTCGTTTCTCTCTCTCGTCTCTCTCATTTCTAGAGAGAGGAGCAGAGTCATTAATGACTACTTTTACCTCGCAATTGAAAATTACGTAGTAATGTTTCCACCGAGTAAAAGTAGAGCGAAGCGATCCAAACGAATAAAAAGGTGTAAAACGAGTCCGCTGCGTCGCGGTCTCACAAACTAGTTTGTAAATGACTCGCTCGCTGTTGCCGCCCCGCGCTTTCCCCGCCCGTCACCCGCTCATTTTTGTGGCACCCGGCAGACGTATAGCATAAAGAATAGCCTATATTCCCCTTTCAATGTTCTTCCTTGAATATGCTGGCATAGCCAAAATCTCCGTTTGGCGCGTCTTTTTCTGAGCTTAAGGTACGTACAATAACATGTACTTTCTCTTTCTGTATTGGCTTCACTTGATTCTCACTCGACATCGCGAATTGGCAACAACACGACCGCTCGCAACCGGTTCAAAACTCCCAACTGAACTCGCTCTCTGTGGAAATCGAATACCTAATCATTTTTTATTTATCATTTTCCGTTCAGCTGGCTCTGCTTTTTCTTCTGTTTCATTTCTCTTTTGCGGTGAGAATCAGATGACTAAATTTTTTCTTGGTGGAAACGCAAACCTATTTCATGAAAACGAAGTCCGCTCCGCTTAGCCATTTCCGGCTCATTACTATTAGAGGGCGTTTAAACGAAGAGCACTTAAAAAAGTCTGCTTTTTAAAATAAGCGCATAAGCACGCTGTTCATTTTAAGCGTCAGCGTTGGTCTCTGGTCAACTGACTAGAACAATTTCATTTTTTACAACGTGCCTAAGTTTCAAGTAGCGCCATCTATGTTTCCTAAACAAATTAATTCAACATAACGTTGCACTATGCGCTTAAACGTTTTTCTAAACGACTTTTTAAGCGTCAAACTAAAAAGCGTTTAAGTGAAAACCGCTTTTACAAGCACGCTTTTTAAACGTACGTTTTAACGCTAAAAAAATAAGCAGCTTTTTCCATTTCAACGGTTAACAACTACTATACGTTTTTGAACGCTTTTAAACGCCAATGAACAAAATATTAACATAATAATGTTATGTCACAAACAAAAATATCTCGTTTTTTTACGAAAAACTGACTTATAACTTTAAGTGGTCTACTCTTGCGTTTCGGTATCAACACAACGTTGCAAGCTTTTTTAACATAAAAGTCTATGAGCTTAAACGTTTTATAAACGATTTTGCACTAAAAAGCGTTTAAAAAAGCACGCTTTTTTAAAAAAAGCGTAACGTTTAAACGTTTAAAAAAATAAGTAGTTTTTCCCATCTCTAATTACTATTTCGCGGTGGGAACCGGGCTTTGGCCGCCCATAAGAACCGGAAATAGGTCCGTTTCGGATCCACGACTTCCGCAAAGTAAGAGTTAACTCACTGAGTCCGCTCCGCTCACTCGTTTGCGGTGAAAGCACATCCACGGTGTTTACCGTTGCGAGTCAAACGAAGTCCGCGCAGAGCCCGCTTCCCTGGCAGTGGAAGACAGTTGTGTGCGAGCGCGCGCAATATAACAAAGTTGGATTCTATTTTGGGTATTAGCCAATGATACATTAAACGGTATATCACAAATATTTTTAATTCAAGAGAATTAAAGAGTTCATTGCAAATATAGGACAGGAAATTATATCTACATATCTACCACTATATTTGAGTGAATAGCTAATTACAACATTGGGGCCGCAAGGCTTGGTAAATCTATCCTTGGCAAATCCAGCATGTTATATTGATAAGACCAATAAAAACTGTTTGCATTGATGGTCATATTTATAATAGTGGAGATTTAAGGAACTGTTGTAAAGTTTATGCGAATAGAGGATTCGTTATGCAACGAGTAAGTTGACAAATTCTTCAATAATTTGTAAGTAATTGAGTAGGTGATAGAAACCATTAATTCAAAGAATACCTCACTCTTTCAAGGTAGCCACATAATAAAAGAAAAATCGCACTTGTGTCAAGCAAATTACGCAAAAAGATTAAAGAGATTTGCCTCGGATTCTTTTTGATAAATTAAATATAACCTTTGTTTTATACTTTGAGCGAGATTGTACTTCAAAGTCAAGCACATTTGCCTATACAGGGTGTTAATGCTGACTAAATATATCCACCAATACAAACAATTCTTATTGTTCATATTAATATGACATCCTAGTATGACTACCAATAAACGGCAATTAAAATTATGTTCATTCGTTAACGCTAGGCAGACTGGGTTCGCTTTCGAACAAACGGTATTTCAGCGACATACTGGCGGCTGCTGAGCCGCTATGCCTGCGCACCGAGTCCAAAGCGCAAGCCAGAACCATCATCGCTCCTTCCACGTATAAACCGTAAAGGATTCTCACGTGGCTCTCCACCTGTGAAGATAGACTGTTTATTGGTCGCAAAGGTCACAAATCGGTATCTTACCTAAGGCTCAATTTACATTACCGCGGAATGTAATGGAAGCGAGTTTTCGTAATCATAGCATAAACTTTATGTCAAATTGTATAACGTACAAATTAAATACGGACCCAAAAACAAGTTCCCGTTCTTCGGCCAATATCCGTCCGAAACAATTTCTGTGAAATAATCAATACTTGACCAAATCACGTATGAAGCTTCATTCGCATCATACGTCTTTTAATTTGGTAGAGTATTACTTATTTGACAATAGTTGTTTACGACATGGATGTCAGACGGAGAATGGGAGAGCAGACCCTTCTTGTCTTTTGGACAATTTTCGTGTGGTCTCAGGAATTATCGCAACAACCGTTTCGTATATAATTTGTACATTACACAATTTGACACAAATTTCGTTACAAAAAAATTGGCTTCTATTCCGTTCCGCAGCAATGAAAAGTTTAGGAAAAAATGGGTGTGTGTAGTATGTGCCTAGTCCAGTATCAATTTAGTAACAGTAGAGCTTCCTATGAAAGAGATAATCTAGGGGAATGTCTACCTACGCCATTGTACTTCTTTTAGCCGATGAGCAGAAACGTGAGCACATTACTGCGTTCCAATTTTGAATCTAAGGTGGCTGGGATTTAGAGCTCAGAGTGGTGCTGCAACTATTATAGGCAAAAGTAATGTTACCACCAAATGTAAGACTAATGCGTCCGTCATAATTATTTAAAACATTCAAAGATTACAGGGTTTAGGGTTACCTGTTTGTAAAATGGTAACAATATCGCAAGTCTATGTTACTAACATCATAAACAACAACTTTTGTGCCATGACTTTTTACAAATCCTAATAAATTTACTAAAATAAAAATATATACTTTTATTTTTTTATTGTACTTTCGGACCCTTTAAGATTTGTATTTGGTAGTAAGTTGTTCAGTAACGCCTCCGGCGTGCTTTCTTTTGCTACCGCTCAGAGTTTAGAGCAGTGTATATACATAAATATTTTTATTTTTCTTCGAGAGTAAAATTTGATGAACTAGGTATTAAAAGTCATGGAACAAAAGTCGTTTATGATGTTAGTATTTATCATTAGATTAGTTAGATTTTACAAATAATCCTATATAACGAATACTAAATCTTTGTAAAGTAGTAGATAAGGCATACCTTTTCCAGACCGCCCGTTGTAGTGAACTCAAGCGGGAACATGACCATTTCGGAGACAGCCTTGTTGCGTGTAAGACCGAAGATTAGCAGTCCGAACACGTAGTAAGAGAATATTGTCAACGGCATGCACCGGCCCATGCACATGAAACTGATCACCGTCTGGATATTGCGGACACCAAAATTAATGTAGGTTACAGTGGCATAGAAAAAAATTGCGAGTAATACGAATTGGTTTCACATTGGTCATAGTATGTTAAGACGAGTAGTATAACTCCATACAAACGTAACAGCGCGGTTTGTACTTATGTGTGCACGCCCTCCGTGTGCCCTGTACGGACACACACATTCGCCTAATCACGGTGTACTCGAGTTGCACAGCAAGTGTCGCACACGTTATTAATTACAGAATTGAAATGGAAAGAAGAAGACCACGCCTATCCGAGAACTTTTGATTTGTAACAGTTCAACAAACACACTGTACATGCCTATAAAAGTTGAGGATTTCTGTTTTGGTGACAATGGGAGCACCTCGAGAGTACACCCTTACAAACAAAAAAAGAATTTTCAAAATCGGTCCGCAACTGACAACTCGGTGAACACATTGTACATGCCTATATAATTTGAGGATTTCGCTCGATTTTCATGGGATTCCATTCTTTTTCTAGGCGTTTCATAAATGATATCAAATAGTAGATAATAATAATAATAACGCACACACTCAACATAGCCCCGCACTAGGGAAACCCTGTGTCGCGGGTGCCATGGACACACACATAGACAACCACAATTTACACCCAAACTCACGAGAGAAATAAATGTAGGCCATACAAATATTTCTCCCGGCCCGGGAATCGAACCTGGGGCCTCTGCGTGGCAGTCCGGCATGGTAACCGTTCGGCCACGGAGGCAGTTAAAATATATAAGATATGTTTATTGTTGTATTAATGTTTATTTGGATAAGAGTATCTCAAAGTCAGAATTGTTCACCATTTCATTCCCATTTCATAATCATACTCCCATAATCGAGATACCAATTCGCGATCCTGGTATGAAAATATAAATATGTAGATAAGTAATGCATTTGACAAAGGTTATTTCAATATAGCACGAGAATATTGAGATGAACACTATAATTTTGTCAAATTAACTTTACAACTAAAATAATAACGTGACAACCCTACACTCCGAGGGTTGTGTTGTGGTAGGTGGGAGAGTTGGACTACTTACTTGTCTTCTTATACTATGTAGTTCTATCGCTCAATGATTTGTGTAGTAGACAATAAAAAGATGTAAATGAAATACTTCTACAGAAAATGTTCAATATAATATTGCCGCCATTAGTTGAAAGGGTGCATGCATTGACTTACAATTATATGGACGTCGGGTCCGCGCTAAAAAGTGTCCGAACTTATAGGGCGTTAAAATCGTATACAGAGCGTCATTCACGCATTAGTCTTCATTTGTTCGACTGACAGCGAAGCAAGCAAAATTAGACAGTACTGCGATGACATTACAATTTAAATTCAACGTTTTAGCTTTTTTATATTCCTTTAAATGTCACTACGTTTAAATAGGTTGACATGGGACATTTTTTTCGTGGTTTTTGTATTACACCAGTCGTCCATTTATTTGTAAGTCAATGGGTGCATGGGACATTTTCTCAAAAACTTTGTTATGTTACAGTGTCGTGATCAACATTTTTATTTTATCCTAAGTGGATAAGGTGTGAAATTAGCGCAACAGAAAAGTACATATTTTTAATCGACTTCAAAAAAAAAGGGAGGATGTTCTCAATTTGTCTGTATGTTGTTTTTTCTTTTTTTGTATAGGTTTACATTACGCTATAACTCCAGCATTTGTGAACCGATTTTAATGATTCTTATTTTGTTGGAAAGGGGGTACTCCAGTATTGGTCTCATTTAAATTTGATGAAAATATTCCACCTTTAAGGGTTTAAAAACTAAGGTCTGAATCCGGTTTCGCGCACTTTCCGGTAACCGATTTCAATAAAACTTGGCAAATAGATATAATTCTACGAACTTTTGAGATTGGGTTTTTTAAATTTAAGTTCTTCAAAAATTATTTTCTCGGTTTTGAATTTTCGTCACAAGCGCCCTTTCAACTGACGGCGGCAGAATAATAGGCACTCACGCTAAATTTCTGTCTGCATTTACTATTCTCCTCTGCTTCCCGGCCTGCGTGCTCTGAAATATAAAATATGTCTACTACTACATTTTTGAGCGTAGCTCGGCATAACAAACACCTAATCCAAAATAAACGTTTCATCATTAAAATAATCATCGCACATCCTGCTCCAGAGCACCATGGAGATCAAATGTGCACTGTCTTTTTCGTAGACCGAGTAAAATGATATTTGGAGGTTTCTCAGCTTTCACAAAATTTTAAATAGTTATGTAGTAGTTGTCGACAGTTTTATCGATAGATTATGAAAGAAGGTAAGATTTTGCGAAAAAATTGTGAATGTTACGACGACGTTCTAATGATTACTAATAGCGATACTGCTTTCTTTATTCTTATTTTGACAGTTGGCCTACTGGTATCGAACTAAATTTTTATCCATATACATTTTAATAAGAACGGAAGAATTTGACTATGTACGGCGAATTAAAATGAAAAACTTTAAAATACGTCTCCTGTTTGTTTTGTATTTTTTATAAACATAATTCTAAATGCAGTGTACAAGTACAGTGCTTCTATGTTCTCAATGTCTCTCGGCAATCATCGGATTTCCGAATGCACACGAATATTAATTTCCATACCTACTCATTAATTATTAGATTAAAAATCAATAATAATTTGAATTTTGAACAACATACTTTATTGTTCTTTTGTTTTGATGTCCGTGTGAACTATGTATATAGAGTTGTAAAACTATTTCCCTATTTTTAATAACATTTACTTGTAAGTAAATAAAATGTGCTTCTTTTATATAAGCAAAAATGCATATTTTTGACTTTGACAAAAAAGGAATTGATTTATGTTTTTATCATATTCTTTTAAGATATTCTTTACTGTTCTAATTGAAACACGACAAGCTACAGAAACACTTTCTTGGACTTTTCGAAGATAATCATTGTTGTCTTTCTTGAACGTATCGGCTTCTTGTAAAAAAATACAAGTACACGCTGTAAATTATCTGTAGTGCCTGTGACTTTGCGGCTTTCCTCCCATTGAATAATAAATAAAAAATGTAATAGCAACTCTATATCAAGTCAACTGAAAGCGTCTGGTGTGTACCAAAGGCAAAGGGCAACTGAATAAAATCTTACCGAGTGACATTGAGAAAATAGAAGCACTATATATACGTATGAACTTACAAAAATTGACAATTCAAATGAACCTGTAACTAGCAAGTGGGCCAATGGTGATTCCGATAGAACAAGTTCGGTTATTTATTCCCTAAGCGTGACAAAAATTCAATCGATAGAATATTTACTGACTGCAATTACTGGCTGCTTGAAGCGGGCAACACTTTTGCGTAATGAACTGTCATTTTACTGCATTTTTAAAAAAGACCCCGTATTTTATTAAAAATGTTTCTACGAACGAAATTAGTCCATAACTGTTTTATGCTTAAGAGTGGTTACACACGGTGACTTTTGCAATCACCTTTATATCCCAAGTGTAGCAACACAAACGCGCGTTTGAATCGATGCAGTCGCGCGTTTGCATCGCTGCTTAACATCGCGCGCGCGTGTAGAGAGACGATTAGAAAGAAAGAAAGAAAAAAATTAAAGTAGTTTATTTGGTAAACTTATGACAAAATATATATAATAGAATGATAATAAAAATAAAATAATTTTATGATAGAACACGAAATAAAAGAATTATATTTCAAAGTTACCAAAATGGTCTCCTCTCAGCTTTTTGTAACAAGAAAAAACACCTTGTTACGCTGGTTTTCAGTGAAACCGAATAAAAGAATTAGCGACCGTGTCGCGTTTGTATCGCTGCTAAAAGTCGACGTGTGACCGCTCTTATCTTATTCCCTACTGTTTATTATTAACATTTCACTTAAACGTAATTTGTTTCATGTAGTTTGGTATTGTCTTTATAACTTTCGACTTACGATCACATGTGGTTTTGTTATTCGGAGGGTACGTAATTACTTAAATTAACCACATGGAGCAACCGACCGTTATCGGCTGCCGTGTTAAGAGAAAAGTTTTCGTCCGTACGCAGTGGACCGAAATTCATAATTCATGGACTTTGTAATAATTTATGTTCCACACCTGATTTTTAAAAATATAATAAGTAATTAATTTCTTGACAACTTTCGTTTTTGTGTGATTTCTCTTCAATGACATATATGTTTATATGTTAGAGGATAGAAAAAAATAGTCTAACGCTTATATCCACTGGATTTCTAGAAAAGTTGTTTTATGAAAAATATTATGTTTCTTTTTGAATGCCTAATTAATTTTATTTATAAGCCTGTTGAAATATACATTTTATTTTGATCCCAAAATGTGAGTATGGTCTACTTATATAGCAGACCCAACAATTCTTGACCAAGAAAAAGTATTTGCTGCTTTACGAGTGAAAGTGGTGACAAAATTTGAACAAAATATTGAAGCTTCCACTGGAAAAAAGAATTCGAAAGTTAAATAGTAATTATTATTTTTTTATCTGAAACAATCAACTTGAACAAAAAAAAAACAATAATAAAAAAGTAGTCAGAAGTATCATTTACAATATAAAGAAAATCTTCTCGGTACTCCACAACTTATTCCCAAGTCCACAAAATTATCAGTTTATCTGTGAATGTGAAATTACTAGAGCCACTATTCGTGGTCTAAAAAGTAAGTTTTACTTAGCTTTTCGGTCGGGTGTTTTGTTTTAATTTGCTTTCTAATCATTTTTTGCTGGTAGCAACCGTACTTTTCTCGACATTTCATGTCAGAATAATGTCGAATCATTCAGCCGTTTGGACGGTACGAGAGAATAAGGGCAAGCGCAAACCGGCGGACGGCGGGGGAGAGATTCAAAGACGATCATTTGCCCGTCAGCGGACACTGATGGGGGATATCCTTTATGATACCGTGAGCGGCCCCCAGCGTACCAAAGTAGCAAAGGCCTCTGGAATGGATATCGGGGATACAGCATGGAACTGATAATGATACTGCGGGAAAACCCCGACAGGGAGTTCGTTCCATAACCTAATTTTACGTGGGAGAAAGCGCCTCTGAAACCGTACAGTACGTGATCGATTCGGTTCCAAAGTGTGAGGATGGACTCCCTGACGGTGGCGAGCGGTGCGTTGATAAAATGTTGCCTTGGCATCATGGTAAACAGTTCTTCAGAACATGGGCTATTGTACAAGCGATAGAATAGGCATAGGGAGGCAAAGTCTCTCCTCCAAGAAAGCGGTTCAATATCGTCATATTCAATATTTGAACCCTATCCACTAGCAACCCCGACGCGTTCTGGCAGGCTCCGGCTGACTCCAACGTGCTCTTCAATACCACAGAGAGAAATGTGCTGCGTTGCTTCAAGTTCTTTCTCAGAGCATAATATTTTTTAAAATTAAGTGCACATTTCACATCCATCTCACCTGGTGGAAACTGACGATAAGGTCGACGATGAAGCATGCACACCTAAATGCCTATCACTCTTGCCTTGAAAAGACCCAAGATATGCCGTTCAGGGAACGAGTCTGCTGGCAGGTTATTCCACTACATAGCCGTTCGTCATATAAATGTGGAAACGAAACGCTTCGTGAGAAAAAAGGGGAAAGCGGAATTTAATTGTGCATTCCCTCGTACACTCTCCGTAATATATCCTGTAAAATATCGATAAGCAGGCAACTTTATGGCGTGTTCAAGGCTTTGCAGCTTCACCTATAGTACTCCGAATCACCTACAAGCCTTGCCAGCATGAAATATAAATTGATAAATTTAATGTCATCTGCTTCTCCGTCTCCGGTTTGCAATGGCCCTAAAGTAGGTACCTCATTTACAAACATAAATAAACGCCGAGAGCCTGTCTTGCCTTTGCTATCGCGCAATCAAGTAGAAATAGGCTGAAGTCTGGGAGCGCAAGCGACAATTATTGTGGTGTGTAGAATGTGAAGTTATTTTAACTTTGTTTATCCATTTGTTTTTGTTCTGTTATTTATAGTAGGAAAGATGCTAAGCGCGAAGCTTAATAAGTTTCGAGAGACAGACGAAAGAAGTACCTATTAGGGTACTCCGTTTAATGCACGTTACAGTTAGAATTCGAGGTCCCGAGTTAGATTCCCGGTGAAATCAATTTGGAAAATGAATTATTGTAAACTGGTTCTAGTCGGGGTGTTCTGGACAGTGCCCAAGATAGTGGCTTCTGTTGGTCTGGTACATAAAATACAGGAAAGTCCCTAGTTTGATTAATAATAGCCGGGTAATTGGTGGTGTGGTTTTTTGGTTAGGTTTTGGTTAAGTTCTCGGGTTTCTCTCAGAGAAAAGTTTAAGGAGGTTGGTATCATGACTGTGGCATCACAGTACATTTACTAAAATATTTTGTATGTCCGTAAAAATATACATAATTTCATTAAGAAAGAAGATATCCATAATATTAACATTAGAATTAAGTCTAAACTCATGGTACCACGATTTCGTTTAACTAAGGTAAACAATTATTTTATGGGGAACTGTATACGTTTTAACAATAAGATTCCGGAGAATATATTAAGATTACCATTTCCTAAGTTTAAAACTTACATTGAAAGTATTTTAATTGAAAAGTAATATTACAAAATTGAAGAGTATGTTTTAGATAAAGAAGCATGGAAGGCAACAAAAGTCTAGAATCCACACAATTATGATTCAAAGTGTATTCCATAGCATTTAAGTTTATTTGAAATGAGCAATCCCTAATGTTACTTGTTTGTTCTTCTCAGGGAGGTCAGCGTAGGGAACAAGCAGTAGCTTGAAAAATGGCGTTTTCAAGTGTAAAAATGTTAATCTATGGAATTAATGATTATCTGATTTTGACTTATTATTTTCTTTTCCCAGCCTTTTGGCTGGTTTTACGGACCGCAAGCAAAAGCCGTATGTTGTGATGAGCGCCTATTTAATTTTCTTCTATCTGCATGAACTTTCTGACAATTTGACACGTATTACAGCTTTTCGTAAAGTGAAAGAGTTTGACCAGGAAAGTACTGCCACCTAACCTATTTCTGCCGCCAAGCAGATATGTGTTTCGGTTTTGAAGGGTAAGGGTGCTGGTGAAATTACAGGCACATGGGACTTGTCAACTTATGTCTAAGGGTGACGGGCGCAATGGCAATGCCTCTCAGATCTTTGCCTTTTAAAGTTCTGTGTGGCAATGCAACTGTTATGGACAGGCGTGTCGCTTACCATCAGGCGCACGACATGTTCGTCTCGTCACTTGGTATCATAAAAATAATTGTGAGGCTATGGAGCAGATAATTCGGTATAAGGTTGTGGAAAGGACAATGGGGACAACATAAACTTTTCTTGTCGTCAAATTAAAATTATTTATTATGGAGAAATCTTTGGTACACCGGTAGAGGCAGTGTGGGTTGGACTAGCCACGGGCTTATTATTATAATACGCTGTTTTGCAGACATTTCGCGAAATTAAGCCGATCCTTAATAATGACCCAGCACATACCCCACTCTCGGGTAAAACAATGCATTAACTAATTAACATAACCGTACTGTACCATCCGACTCCGGTTATGAATAAGCAATGATTATTTATTATTATGTAGCTCTATTTCCGTGCACAAGCAAGATACATGACCCATTAGGCACTTTTACACACTGTACTTTGTAAATACAATTTTTATAATATTAAGTTCATTGAATTTAAGTTTTTAGTAATTATTAATAGAAAGATCGATCGTTGTATTACTAATTATAACAAACTCCATCGGTCGAAAGATCGATCTTTGTGTTAATAATTATAACAAACTCGATCGATCGAAAGATCGATCTTTGTATTAATAATTATAACAAACTCGATCGATTCAAAGATTGATCTTGTTATTAATTAAGTATAACAAACTGGTGGAGTAATTTGTCAAACTGGTCGAACAAGTCGTGCGCCTGATAGTAAGCTACACGCCTGTTCATAACAGTTGCAGTGCCATTCAGAGCTTTAAATCGTAAAGATCTGAGGGGCGCTGCCACTGCGCCCGTCACTCTGAGACATAAGTTGACAAGTCCCATGTTCCTGTAATTTCACCAGCACCCATACCCTTCAAAACCGGAAAACAATAATGCTGATATTACTGCTTGGCGGCAGAAATAGGTAAGGTGGCAACACTTCCCTGGACGAACTCTTTCAAAAGGAGCTCTACTGTTACTAGGAATGCTAATTGAATATCGTGGTAATAAAACATTGTGATGTTCAATAAATTTAATATTACAATTTTTAAAGCGACATCTCTAGGCTGTCGCTAGTAGCTTGGGGTCAAATAAGTAATACTCGACCGAATTAAAAGATGCATGATGCGAATGAAGCTTCATACTTTACACTGTCTTTTGATTTTGTTTTGAAAAAAACAATTTCATTGTTTCGGACGGATCTCGGACGGAGAATGGGAGTAGATTCCCTATAAAGATACCTGGGGGGTGCTTCACGCAATCAAACCGTTACGATATCGTAGCGATTTAGTCGTTGAACTGCTTTTTCGTATTCACGAGTGACAGTGAATGTCAACGAGTCCAATTTTAAAGTCGTTCGATCAAATGTCTTTAAAGCGTGTTCTGGTCTTAGATGATGGAAAAAAAATAAAAGAAAGGAGCTGCCCTAACTACATAAACAAAAATTGAACGAATAAATGGCGGATTTCTTTAGTGTCGTACCATAATCTATCGATAAGTCACTATCGACATGCAAACATTTAATTAAAGTAAATCAATATTCCATTTGGGAATATTTTACGTTATATGGGAATATCCGGGAATGTCACATGAAATTTTGAATTATTAAATAACACGAAAAGTAAATTTGCATAGAAAAAAAATGTAATTTGAGCATTGACTTACTTGAGAGTGATAAAAACAGAGAAAACTTTGAAATATAAATCTGGAAATCTCCTATATGTTTCCAACCTCAAAGTTAATATTTTCATAGAGAATTGTTTAAACAGTTTCCAAATAGTGTAAGCTTTTTTGTATTTATGCATTGATACAGAATTAATGTCAGTGACTGATTTAAGTGCATCTTAAATATTTACATTTACTTTTGGAAATAAATGAAAGTAGTAATATTATCAATAACAATGTTATTATCATACGTTTATTTCCTTAAAACATGGTATAACTGGAGATGTAACAAACGACAGTGTTAGTATATAAACATATATTAAATAGCATTGAATTGTCTGATTATACAATGTCAATTGACTACTATTGGCCGAGCGCCTTTGATATGTGCAGAAAAATCGACCCTTCTCCGAAGTGAGACAAGTAGTCACGAGCGACTGCGAGTTGTGACAAGCCACGTCAAATGAGCTCTATACACGTTAGCGCTCGCCTCCACTCGGTCAGCTAGGCGAGTGTCAGCGAACGATGGTAAGGCAAGGCAAATAGGCTGTCTATACGTTGGCCTTCACCCGGCAACGTTGGACCAACATGGTCATTGTATTGCTGGCTTTATGAAATAAGAATTTTTAGTAGTTAGAGTTGTTGAGGAGAGTGGGAAAAAATCGAAAACGAGTGGATAATTTTGTTTTCAGGAACTGAGAATGCCTAGAAAATGAGTCTTGTTTAATCTAAATTAAATATAAAATTATTTACCAATAAACCTAATGATGCAATTACATCATCATGTAATCTAGTTACATTCAAAGGTATGTTAAAATTTGACTCTTCAAAATGAAGCGAATAAATGAAGATGATCGTTGATTCAAAGTTTATATTCGGCACTCCTACGATTTTCAATCATTATGTTTTCTTTTTTGATTTATAGGTAAACTTAAAATAGTAAAAATAATAATAACAAAATAATAAAAACTCGTAGTGACTTATTTTAATAACAGAATATCGATAATATGTACAAAATATACAAACAAACAGGCAATCTGAAGAAACCAAAGCAAAATTTGGCAAGATTTATGAATAAACTACTTAAATATGTCTATTTATAAAAAATTACATGAGATATTTGGGCTTTTGTGTGATTTATATATAGACAGAAAAATAACACATGCCTGTACAATGTTACATTCGGCAGATTTTCGCTTTTTCTATTGCCACATCCCGTAATGCTGCAGCGACGAATTTTTATTAATAATACTTAACTTTTCTCACTGTCAATATTTTTGTCCATTTTATTACAATATATGCGAATAATTTAATAAAACAGTTGGAAAACATTTGTTTTGACATTTGATGTGCTTCCCTTTGACAACCGTATCATGTACTGCGAAATGGACACGGTCGGCATTTAAGATGACGTTACGTATTTTCGATTCCCGTGTTTGACACAGACCAATGTAATGCTATCTCTTTTGGCTTAAGACGGCACGCAATAGTTAAACAAAGACAATAACATGTTTATGTTTTCAACGTCGAAATACATCATATACATATAACGTCTGATTTATAAATGTCAACACAATATTTTATTTAGTTATCCATAGTCTAAGATTCTGGTACATGAATCGAAATTAAATCAACTCTAAACGACAAGTCATAAGTATTCTGCTAAAATTTTGACAGTTCTTTCAATAGACTTTCGACGACTAAGTATCAAATTTCACAATCCAAGATGTCGTTTATTAGTCGTTACGTTTCGATTCTACTAATATCAACGTTCGTTCAAGTGATACATGAATACCCATTTTGGATAGGACTTCGATACTACTAATTGAGTGAAGAAAAACTTTCATAGTTTTCTCACAGATGGCGCTATGGCATAATATTTTTTGTGAAATTACTCCACTAGTTTGTTATAATTATTAATACAAAGATTGAACACTTAGAAAAAATCCTTTGAACCGACGTCTTCTAGCAAACCGTGCCAGACGTTATATTATAACTTTTTATTGACATTTATTTACGAATTACGGCCAGCACGCGTATGGATTTGTTCAGAAGTCCTACTATGACTTGATGACTATGTATGTATTGTAAACTGTGACAAAAACCTGCCATTTTCCAAAAAATAAGTTAGTCACTGAGTTGCCTTTGTTTTTATTGCTTATTTTGACAGTTGAGACGTTCTGTTGCATTAAGGCACAGAACGGCTTTTAAATGGTTATCGTGAACTGCATTGAACCGAAGTCTACCACGAAATACGAAGCAACGATCGAAGATCGTGATTTGACATAAATATTTGTGGATACCGTACTCCGAAATGTCAAATGAGCTATTGTATCGAATTTTGACATTACTTTCATCGTAAAACTGACATTTGTGTAGTACGTAGGAATAAGCTACGTAGCGGAAGCAGTTACGTAGTATCGTATTTCGTGTTCGACCTCCAGCCATCCTCCAGCTTTGGTTTTTTGAGATCATAGTACGAACTTGACAGGAATTTCAAATTAGGATAGATCTCATAGTAACCCCCAGTTCGGTAGTCTCTAATTTTAATCAACCCGTGGGCAGGTGTGGTAAGTGGAACATTCATCTTCACCTCTCGTTGAAAATAACATGTAATTTTTAACAGCCTAAATTTCTTAAGATATATCCTTCTGTAAATCTTATTTTAAGAATCAATGGCCTGACATCCTCACCTCTGTCGTGTTCATCTGTGAACTTGAAGACGCCAACCTCGTCGACACTCTGCATGAGACGCTGGATGCAGTCCTCCACATGGATCACGATACACGTGCTTGCGTTAACCACTGCACAGTATAATGATAAAACATTACAAAATATTATTACAGAATTATTACAGAAAATCTTGGCAAAAAATTGACATACGGGCTCGCAGCTCCTTGCGTTCTATAGATACATTCTTGTGCAAAAATATGTAGCGAACGGTATCAATGGGGTGCGGGAGGGTGCTATTGAGGGGTGAGCAAGGAAAAAGACAACGTTCTTACAGTTTATTTACACGATGTAGTTCTATTCTATTTCCTTAATGGCGGCTACTAGGCTTGGGCCAGTGTCAGTTTCGACACAAGACGTAGTTGCAACATAAAATAGAAACAATAGTGACAAAAATAGAAGAAAAAGGCGCCAAATTTAGAATCTTAGAATTTCAATTTAAAACTAAACTGTTAAAAAGACTATATAAAATAAATGTACAAAAAAGATTTGTTGCGACAGCTGCGATTCTCTACATCATCCGGGCCGAGAAAAGGATAGGACCATCTACTTATACAGTGATTGTACCCTCAGATGCTACGGAGTCTAGAAGCATCTTGATTAATTTCCTTAAAGGGCGACGTAGCATGCCGCCGCGAGTCGCCACGTCTGCGACCCTGACCTCACCGAGTCTATCAGGATAGAGTTGGAGTACTCTACCCTTAGGCCATATTCTTCTAGATAACGTACCATCGGCGATGATTACCAAATCTCGTACATTCAGAGGTGTTTGGGGAGTTCCAAGAGGTCGACTTTGTCGGATAGGTAGTACCTCATTGAACCACCTGGACGAAAAGTGGTCAGACACTCGGAGGTGTTTCTTTTTACTTTATTGAGACTCAACTGCCATTGCAAATAGATTTTCTCAGAATAATAATTATCATAATTGCAATATAATTTGGCAGCAATAGAGCTCCTCGTAAAAGAGTTAAAATAAAATCAAAATAACTTTTATTTCATAGCATTATTACACTTGAAATCGTCACATTGGTTAAACTCTACCGTTCATTCGTAAGGCAGATTCCCCTGAGAAGAGTGAGCAAGAAACTTTAGGGGTTGCTCTTTGTAAATGACATTTGTACACATTCAACATTTACAATATATATTATTTTTTGTTTTCAAAGAGCGGAGATCGAGACTACTTCCAGGAGCTAAACGGGTTACTACCACGAATTTTTGTCTTTCAAGTACACAGAAGTTGTAAAAACCTTTAGTATAAAGATTTTGTTTCACTATAGTTTTAAGCCTCGTGAATGGCAAAGTTCGTCCAGGGAAGTGCTGCCACCATACCTATTTCTGCCGCGAAGCAGTAATGTATATTACTGAGTTCCAGTTTTGAAATTATGGCACATGGGACTTGTCAACTTATGTCACTGGGTGACGGGCGCAGTATCAGTGACCCTCAGATCTTTGCGATTTAAAGCTCTGAGTGGCATTGCAACAGTTATGGATAGGCGTGTCGCTTACCATCAGGCGCACGACTTGTTCGTCCTGTCACTTTAAAAATTCTCAGTGGATCCTCGGTGAAATCACAATGACTGATTTGTGCTTACTTACGTAACCACCACTTACTAAGGTAAATCTGTGTTGGCACAGCAATAATTGCGTATACCAAGGTTGAAGTTCGGCCACCCATAGTTTGTGGCACGGGAGCTCCAAAACCTGAAAAATGTTTCGTATTAGCAACTCCGTCAAGCTTGCCACTTGAGATTTTTGGTTATTCTTATCGTCAGAGGCATAGAGTTGCATTTAAATCTTAAGTGCTAATCTTGGCGAGCTCATAGCTCTGTTGTGGAATTGAGAAACACGATTTGAAAGTCCCAAAAATTACAGAATCAAAGCAACAAAGATTATGGCGCATAATTTGACCCGGTTAATAGATGTTTGCCGAAAACCACATTAGATTTAAATTATGTAGATATAAACCGTGTTTTATTTTATGTAAAAAAAATATTGAAAGTCTACGGGGCTAACATGTAACAGGGCAATAAATATTTGATATTAAACATATTTTTATTTGTGTGAAAACCTTAATAAGGTTATTGTCAGACTTTTTGTCAAAATAAATATAATCACATTCGTGCCCGAACCCTGCGCGGTCATTTTTAGTAGGAATAATATCAAAATTGTGGTGGTCTCTGGGTGCAATAAATACAAAACACACAAATATTTTGCAATAACGTACATTTTTTGTATATAAAGATTTTTATTCTATAATTTTAATACCCATAACAAAGCGACACATACCATTGTAAAGTACACATATTTTAGAGCGACTCCGGAGTGTCACGTGTGAGGCGCTGCTACAGCTAATTTAAAAAAAAGGTTAGGTTAAGTTAGGTTTAAAAGAAAAAACATTTTCCTCTCAAAATTACTTTCGAGGTTACGAAAATTTGAGCAGACGTTATTTCTGGAAAATGTCATTTCGGACTATTGGTAGGTAACCAGCCATATGTAATTTCGGTACGCGCCGTGGTTATTGTTTTTATTCTTTGGTGGGTCATGATCTGTATATTCTCGTTTGTATACGGATAACTAAATATACCTAAAGTATAAATAAAAATAGCATTGTTCGCAATAAGATCCATTTAGTCTCTCAACAGGGCTGGTAGCTGCAAAGGTGATAAAACGGTAAAAAAACCTGGGTGATAAAACTTTCATAGATTTCTCATAGATGGCGCTACGACTAAAAAGTAGTTGAAAAACCAAATACAAAGACACGACAACAAGCATATGGAAAAATTCGCGAGGTCCGCTGGTTCGTTCCGTGGCTTAGTTGGTATAGCGTCTGACACGGTATGCTAGAAGACGTCTGTTCGAATCCGGCCGGATCGAAGGATTTTTTTCTGAGTTTTTTCAATTATTAATACAAATATCGAACATCTTTGTGTTAATAATTGTCCATTTAGTTTTTTTTTATTTCGAATCGTGTTTTCTCAATTCCACCCATTTTTGAATAACAACAGTATTTTGTTTCTAGTGCGATATATGTGTACAGACGCCAGCACATCAAGCTACACACTGACGTATCTTGTTCCGTTGCAATGGAGGCGATTTTCGAACAAAAATGTGTAGTCTGATGTACCGTTGTCCGTACATTCTTGAATTCCTTTACTTTGAGCTTCTTTTCATTTCCACTATTCTATTCTAGTATTTCCACTATTCCCCAACAAATATTATTACTGATTTACTAACAATAACTACGGGCGTTACAAGATCTTGCGTGATTCTTTTTTATGCAAAACTGCACTAACAATAATCTGCAAGTTTATCTTTTTGTACGAATATAAAAATGGGGATACGTTTTCCTTTGCCGCTTGCCTTCTTTAAGTTGTTAATTCTCTTTCTAATTCTTCTTTTTTTTTTGTCCATTTTTTTGTTATATTTTTTTTTTAGTTGGTTTTTGAAATTTCATGCTTGCCACACCTGTACGCTTCCACGGACGCTCCCATCGACACGTTAACACTGACACACAACTATACTAAGACTCACTGCACGTCCTACACATTGCTTTTTGCTGTGATACACCACTTCGCGTTACCCACTAGGCGATAGCTGAAAATCAGTGCGTTGCTTTTGGGCAACACCTGCACTGAGCTATGGCCTGTTTGGCTTGCTGCAGCACTCACAACTTGCTTTTTAATTAGTTGTAGATATATGTCGTTTATTGTGTATTTTTTTATATTTATTTGATTTTATTCCTTTTTGTTATATTGTATGTTTTGCTTTGAGTTTTTTCTTTTGTCATCTTTCTTTCTTTAGCTATTTGTTGTTTCATATTATTGTGTGTGCTTGTGGTAAGTCAATAAACGTATTCTATCTATCTATCATAATTGACTCACGAAATGACAAGAGAAAATTCAAGAGAAAACATCCTCTGATCTTGGGTGAGTTATATCCATTTGAGCTCAAGGTAAGGTTACAGAATAGGAATGTAATGGAGTACAGTTACTTTTTGTGTGCCGGCGGCGGCGGGTGTACCATCTCTATGTAGAACTCACCCAAAGCGGTCATAACATATACAGTAAAAAGAAACGTTCCGGATAGGTCCCAGAAACGCCCCGGTCGTAGTCTTGCTCCATTTCCGACCGCCGTTATTGTTAGCTGCCGCTCTTCTTCGATGCGTTCCTTTATAATTTTTCTCCACTTTGGTGATACTGGCGTCATCTGTAAACAATATATTGGAGCTTGAGACTTGAGAGAATGTGTACCTTAATAATGGGAAAATACAGATGAATAATATGCTACAGGCGAAAAACATGACGCGTCGCGACGCTTCGACTCTGCACCAGTCTGAGTTGAGCCTATCTTTTAAATTTCTATCTTAAGGTTGCCTGGAAGAAATTGCTACTTAGCAGTAAGGTCACCTGTTGTACATTGGCTTACTCTGTGATATTTACATTAGTGTTCTGTGTTGTCATTGTAATTTTAATGTGGAATAAAGAATATTTCATTCGTTCATTCAATTAGAGCGAAACATTTTGGTGAAATTACAGCCACATGGTAAAAAACTTAATTAGGTTACCACGTAGTAAGTCAAACGGTCAGACAATTGGTAGTAGGTCAAAATATTTCGTATTAAATATAATAATAATAATTTGTTTTCACACTGCACACACTTATAACTGTATATACATATTGCAAAGATTATGTAAGGATCTATTCGATTTAAGAGTACACACTGCAATAACAGTATATACACGTAGGACTTATATATTTAAGTAGTTTATTTTATTTTCGCGACGCAAACTTCCGTCACTCACTGATCGAGGGCCCATTGAAAACCAGCGTCACAGCCTTGTCTTGGATGTGACTTTAGGTGAATGGGATCTTTTCGCGTACGCCACAGCCGCACACATGTCAGTATAGTATTATTTAGCATAGTACATGTTGTTTAGATGTTTGCTAGGCTGTTTTTTTTGTGTTATTTCTGTTTTTATTTATATTAGTTGTTTTTGTGCCTTTTTTATAATGTGACGTTACAATAAATTGTTTCTATTTATATTTATATTTCTACTTCTATTTCGTTTTCGCTTAGATAGCCGCGTCCACACGAAACGTGCAACATTTGCCGTTGCGGCACAATTGCCGTGCTGACAACGCGTCCACGAAACTTGACCTCACGTTGCTAAATTGTCTGATAGCTTAAGTCCGGGATACTGACTGACATATGTATGTAGTATAAGTAATTAGCATGTAAGCATTTTTGTTCTTCTCATCTTTTTCGTTCTTATTAGTTGAACATAACGGTTTTTCTAGCCGATTAATTAAATTTCTTGTCAATTAAATAACTTCCTAAGTAGAATCAGATTTGTGGGCAATTTTCGGATATTTTGTGGGCAATTTTCGGTGGCAATTTTTATTATTTAATTTTCTAGAATAGTACCATTTTATATTATCTAATATTTCACGATAGTACCTATACTCGAATACTTAAATAATAGAAACTGCCACCGAAATTAGGTCGAATAAACTAACCTGAAAATCACCCTTGTGTAATTTGGAAATACGGCAGCAAGCGGGTTGCAGATAAATGTGAACCTATTGTATGTGCGTAGTGTAAGTAATGGTTGGCGTGCCGAAAACTCTAACCGCGTATACTAAGCCCTCCATTGACAAGGCATTGTACTGCACTGTTTGGTTCAGTATTCGATGTGCGTTTGTATGCGTGACCGTTTTTTGCAGTACAAACGACGTGTGAACGGTTCTACTATAATGTATGCGCCACTGTTTATTCGGTTCAGATTTATACTGCAATAAACTTAGTACAAATACATAGTATTAAAAAACCGAGCTTAAAAGTCATTTATCCCCTAGTTTGCCACCCTTAGAGATTCTTCAAAATTTAAATGGGTCCACTGCTGAGGTGCCCTCTTTATAATAAAAAAAGACTCATCCAAATGGTTCACAAACTTATAACGCCGGAGTTATTACGTAACATATTTACAAAAAAAAACAGAAATAAATGTAGACCATACAAATATTTATCCCGGCCCGGGAATTGAACTTGGGACCTCTGCGTGGCAGTCCGGCATGGTAACCGTTCGTCTACGGAGGCAGCAATTCCGTGTGAACGGGGGTTACTCTTTTCTATAGATAAATATTATTTTAAATAAAACTGACCTCAAAATTTTGTGGAATTAAATCTATTTGCCAAGTTTTTTTATTGAAATCCGTTAACGGAAAAATGAGTGAAATCCAATAAACCGGATTCATCTAATAAATTGCCTCCCTTACACGAAAAATATTTTTTTCCAAATTTCCAATAAATAAAGAATCATCGAAATCGGTTCACAAAAAGTTCACATATGTAAAAACCCTCGAATTGATAACCTAGTCCTTTTTTTGAAGTCGGTTGAAAATAGTTAATAGATAAGGATGACAATAAATTATTATAAAGTACAAATACAATCTCGACAGAAGAGATATATCTATATATATATACGTCGGTTCAATTCCAATTCAAATGATATCCATGATTTCCCAAAGTGGTCTCTACAAGTGGGCGCTCTGGAATCCTAGTTGTCGGGGTTTCGGAAGCAATTGGGGAGCGTTGATGCAGTCCAGTATAGCTAGCACGACAGGGCGCGACCTAAGCGAGAACGACCTAAAGCGCGGGATCGATATGTGAGAATAGCAGTATCTCGCCCTTTATGTCACTTTCGCGCTAGTCGCGGCGTATCATTTGAAGAAAAAAACTTTTTTTTTCATTTTGTTTTGAAATTTTCTTATTCTGCCTAAGCCAAAAAGTTTGGAAACCTATGACATAAACGAAATGTAAGCAAATAAATTGCAGGCAAAGACCTCGTATAGTCGTATTTATTTGCATGTGATGAATATTATTGTTGGGTAAATAAATTATTTACTTCAATTATGGATGCTGATATTTCGTTAAGCCCAAGGGGTGTTTAGTGGCGGCTTACGTATCAGGGGGTCTTCTCCCATCATTGAGTATATAACCAGAAATAGAGACGGAATAACCATCCAACCCTGGCAACTTATCAGGTAAGTGGGCCTTATATCACTTTTAAATATCAACTCTCGTTTGCGCTGAAATTACAAATTAGAAAACTGAAATAGTACAGCGCCAAAAACTGACCTGTGTGTACGTCTCCGTGTATTACAAAAATATTCTGTATTTATTGTTATAAAGATAATATCTCTAACTATGGGGGCTGTTCCATTCGGTGGTGTGAGAAAAACAGCAAAACACTTATTACAAAACAAACGGAATCACATTTCCTCGGTAATTAATTATGTAATTAAAAAAAAGCTCAAGTTAAACTGGTCGAATTGAAGTGAAACAATTGACTACACCCGACAATTGTTTCGAATTAGGGCTAGCCAATCGGAGCGCAGTTGTCACAGTAATGATTTGGCAGAATAGTTTTCAAACAAATTAAATGACATTTCGTCTCTTTTCCTAGTTATATACCCGATGACTCCCGTTCTCCGTCCAACATCCGTCCGAAACAATTACAGTCAAATAAGTAACACACAGGACGTAATGCCAAACGAGAACGCCGCCGCCCACTAAGTAAAAGGCGGCTAAGTGGCATGTGGTCAAATATCCGTTTTAAACAGCATAAGATAGAGCTTAAAATTCTCTTTTTCAAAACAGTCAAGTTAGTTAACATATCGGATATATCGGAACTTACACTAATGACTCTTAGCTAAAATGTCCGCGCGAGGTACATATAATGGTGACCGACCGGTTTTGGCGAGCTGGGAATGCCCGGCACGACGATTGATGGAAAGTTTAAGTGCAGCTCAATTTTTTAGTATGTAGTTACGTTTTTTACAATACTGCATGTACTTGATGATATTGAAATGTATGTTAAATAAATTTAAAAAAGTTAAAACAAATTATGTTTAACACTCTCAGCGCCATAGAACAAATGATTTTTCTGAAGCAGCAGGCTATGTTGGCTGCCGGTGGGACACGCGTTCCTTTTCATAGCACGCCACGCCTGATCTCGAGTAACTTTTGTAGCAGGCCACGTGGGCTGCCGGTGGGACACCTTCAAACTTTACCAGCAGGCCGCGCGTTACCCCGAGATTCCACTAAAAACAGACGGATGTCACCACTAGGGACGAGATCGATACTTGATTACGATCTGGATCAGTTGTTAGCAAATGAGTCAAATAATTGACTGTGTTCGTCGAACGCACAACTTATATTATCGGCCTGCTGATGCAACTTTTAACAGGTCAGGACTAGAAAAAACAAAAATAAATAATTTAAATTTACTTTTGTTTTTTCTAGTCCTGATTGTGGTACGCTGGCGGACCACAAGGCCTGCCAGATAAAATTCGAAAATACATGGTTGTTTTGCAGCACTTGGGTTTATGTGTTCTGCCGGCGGCCCACATGGCCTGCTAGGTAAAATTCGAAAATACATGGTGGCCTGCTGTACTTGGGTTTAAGCGGGCGGCCGGCAGTCCATGTGGCCTGCTAGATAAAATTCGAAAATACATGGTGGCCTGCTGCACTTAGAGTTTTTGTGGGTGACTGGCGGCCCACATGGCTTGCTGGTTAACATTCGAAGATACAACGTGGCCTGCTGCAGTCGAATGTTTGTGGGCGGCCGGCGGCCCGCATAACGCTGAGAGTGTACAATTTCAATATTCTAAAACTGGGTCAAGTCTTTTATGATATCTAAAAAATTATTTTGCCACGTATTCGCGTTTTAGTTAACATTCGGCGGAACGACAGTAGATCCACAGATGTATGTGAGCCGCATACAGCAGGAGCCGCAAAGCCCACCACGTACACTTACAAACATACCTGTTCACGTAAAACAAATTAGGTCAATTGACCTAATTGGCCTCCTTTTCCAATTACCTCAACGTAGATTTGTTAACCGGGTTCAATGAACGCGACAGGAGGCTGTTTCTGAGGGTAAATAAATGCTTTCTCATCAGCCCCTTTCCCATTGAACTTTTTGTAAACAAATAATACTTAGAAACACGTTTGGCCACATTCCCACTTGATCGATGACGTGACTTACGATGGTATGGGTTCGTCTAAAAAAATGCCTGTTAATAATTATAACTTTTTATAAAACAACTGACGGTTGTTCGACACTCGGCCGAAGAATCAGCTCGCACAGAACGGTTGGTCACATGGTAATAACGGCTGTTTGTCAATAATGAATTATATGCTA